TGCGATCAACACAGTTTCCAAGCGAATCGAAAGATAAATAATTCTCGAATTTATTTTTAAATTAATTTCTCTGTAAACTTCAAATCTGCACCTGTCATAAATGTGAAAGTTCGCTGACAGGTATAAATATATTCTAATTTTAGAAATTCTATTTGGACGATATTAACCAATTGCTTTTAAAGAAGAATACTTATGAATAATAATGGGAGTTATGTAATCGATCGAATGCACTTCAGTGCTTCGTTAAAGAGGAATATATTACACCCTAATAATAATATTTGACCATTATTTTTAGTCTCTAGCAAGAAATAAATATTCAATTCAATTTATTTCAAACGAGCGTTTGAACTTTACTTCGAGCTATCTTCAGCCTGGAAGAATAAAGAATTATAATACAAAAACTGTATAATGTGAGAAAATAATAAATAGACTGAAAGCTAAACTATCTACTCTAAGAATATAAACGAACAGATGGATTTTTCTTAAAATAAATTGAGAATACTATGCTTTTCCCTTGGTATCCCAATAAAGTGTTCCAATAATGCTAATCACGGATCGATGAAGAAAAAAACATTATCGTGACAGTTTTAAAACTATTTACTTACTGCAAAGTCTTCGAGTGATACATTATTTATGAGGAAAGCACTGCATAAATTTTACGCCGGAATACAGTCATTCCGTGAGCATGGAAATTTGTGTTAAAAATAATTGTAGGAACGTGTTGAAATAACTCACGACGCGAAAGACAAATTACAGATATGCTCGATATTAATTACAGGAGTTTGATTAATAATCCTGATAAACGTGTTTCGCGTATATAAATTCATACCTGAGAACAAATACTGCGCTTGATAAAACTACGCGGCGTAAAGTGCTTTAAAGTGTATCGATAAATAAACACGATTGCTGCGCGACGTTTATTAAAGATTTCGGTGCTAGTACGAAATTAATTGCAACATTAAACGCAGTCAGTTCGAGCGCGGTTATTTTTAATAAGAGAAGCAATTCGCGATTGCCTTTGTGATCCGACGATTACTATTAAGGAAAAAGTTTAACAACGAAAGCCTTTTCGGGCGAAAAAAAATGAAAAGCACAGGCAGACGATTACGTATAATGTTTCAATTTTCAAACAACCGTGACACATTTATGATCCCAAGAATTTATATTACAAACGATCTTAGTAAATCGACATTGACATTGTTTCCTTAATTAAAATTTTAAATGTCTGTTAACAGACAGTTATTAAGGATCAATTTTGAAATAGTTTCGTAAATAAATTCTCATAATAGTTCTACAATCTATAGAAATTTAATAAATATCGATGTAAAGTTAAAACCTCGTTATTACAACCTAATATTCCACGAATGATCCAGACCTTCGCGATAATTAAATAAATTTCCCCCGGGTATCAAATTGTAAGCGTCAAGATGGTAAGACGCGGATGAACGTCAAAGTAATGTGGATGCTTCTTTAAACTTAGCAACGTCACCTATAAATATGTTTGCATTTTCACCTATTCCTATTTATGTAACGTTAAAATGACGCTGCTTAGCGCTCCAATGAAATGTATTCTGAGCGTTAAGCAGGGTGTTACTGTGCTTCGTCCGACACGTAATTAGTTTATCTTCTTAGTAAACTCGCTCAATTATTTTCTCCCTTGCAATATATTCTTCTACGAATGAATCTGTACGTATTAAATTTTGTTCTCACAAAAATTAATCGCGTCTATGTGATCGTGTCGAAATTGTAAGGTTACCTTTCGAAAGGACTTAAACAGACTTGGAAATTGATTCGATGTCTAAAAACCAACTATCCAAGTGCAATAAATTCAGCACAATTCCACTTCGAAAAAATTCTCGATAATTTTTAGCACGGAACCATACCGTTAAATAGATCAACAGATAAACGTGTAGAGAAATAGAAGAAATTTTTCAGAAGCTAGAAAGAAAGTAACGAAATATTTCTGACCGTTTCAAATAATTAACTGTTCTTTAAAAAGCTTCCTGATTTTCTTATGCGTTAAAATAATTATCTACGATATGAAATAAGACCGTTTCTCTAGAGGAGCATTCTTCTGTAATTGGTTATAAATTATAATCCCGTACGAAATCATGGTAATTCAGCTGGAATCACACGGATTTCTTTCCGCTATGTCCAATTAAAATTTGTAACCGTTATTATAAATTGTGCGCAAAACTGTGCCTCGACCCGTTAACCGTAGAAACGAACGAATAATTTTTACTCCGTTCGTTTATTTCGACGATAAATGGGTCAAAACCGTAACTTTGTTAATAATACGTACGAATTTGAATTGTGTATAGCAAACGGAGCATACGTGATATTGCGTATACGATCGAGCATAATTCGTCCCAAAATCAAAATTTTAGGGTATGAATTATACAATTGGTTGATTACTAATTTGGTAACTCATAAAACGAGAATTGATATTTGATAATTTTTTTACAGCATAAGGGTTTGATGAAACTTTACGCCACTTTCCACATATATCCTTTAACATTTCAAGATACATATATTCTTTTTTCGTTACGTTTCATCGACTTTGGAAGAAATAATAAATGTTATTCTTTATGTTGATGGCGTTGATAGGTGTGCAGTCTAGCATGTTTTTCCTTTGATTTAGAATAAAAAATCGAATGACATTTCGTTCATAATAGTACTACGCGTCGCACGAACTAACATTCTCCGTAATAATAATTATTAAAACTATGTTTATTGCATGATTAAATTAGTAATTTACCGCAAGAATCAATTATCTTCGATAATTTTCTATTTTTTAAGGAGGATTTCAGTTCATACGACATGTAGTACTGTCGTGAACGAAATGTCGTTCGATTTTTTATTCTAGATCGGAGGAAAAAAATGCTAGACTGCACGTATAAGGAATGACATTTACTATTTCATCCAAATTTCAATAGAAAGAAGAAATATTTGTATCTTGAAATGTTAAAGGGAAAGTCTTTATTGTAGAAAAACTGTCAAATATCTCGTTTTACCATTTTCCACGAGTCTCCCCCTTCAAGGGTTAAAATTCCACGTAAATCGTTAACAAATAAAATTGACGAGTAAAGTTCGGAATCTGAAGGCGAATGGACCACCAGGAAGTCGATCTTCAAAAAATATGTAAACATGCAAATTGTAGGAACGTGAAATGAATTTTCATTAAATCGAGTGAGTCAACTCGATTCCTAGGTATTATGTTCGATTACAAGAAGTCCTTTGAATCTCACGTAACTTACGTTCGAAAAAAATGCATGAAAGCCCTTAACGTTATAAAATTTTTATGTGCAACCTGGTGGGGATCAGACCCAGAAACACTTCTAACGCTCTACAAAAGTCTAATTCGCTCTCATATTGATTATGGGTGTTTCGTCTACTATCCCAAGACCAAAAGAGCAAGAGAAATATTGGAAAAAGTCCAGTTTTCGGCATTACGGACTGCCCTAGGCTGTCGCATCAGTACTCCAACGAACATACTGTTAGCAGAATCCAAATTACCATATATCAATGATCGTACTAAATTCTTGTGTAATAATTTATTAGAGCTTATTAGAGCCATTTCTAACACCTGCACACAATCCAACAAAACAATCAAACAATTTTACTACAAAAATAAAAATAAAGCTAGAAACCTCAAAGGGCTGATGGAACATTGTATTATCAATATTTTTAGTTCAATTAAAAATTTATCCATAGAAAACCGGTACAGTATCTACCGTCATGAATATAGTACTATCACTACCTCAGTCCCAGTCAATACCGAAATTGGCTATTTACTTAAAAATTGCGACTATCCAAATTCAACACTGGACAATTACCTATCAAATAGTCCTTCCTATTCAATTTGTACTGACGGTAGCAAAATATCAGGAGCCAATTCGGTAGGGTCAGCTTGCTTCTGTAGTGAACTAAACGTATCAATTGTAAGAAGTTGCCCTACTACCTTATCGGTTTTTACTGCAGAATGCATTGCACTGAATGATGCTCTAGATTTAACTCTTCTTAACACAGAACACAATTATACAATCCTATCTGATTCTCTCAGTGCTCTTCTTTGCCTCCAGCACCCGAAGATAGACATAAGAATTAACCCTTACATCCTCAAAGTTAAAAAAAAATATAATGAATTCAGACTAAGAACGGTTAATGATAGCCATATAGAATTTATTTGGATACCATCTCACTCGGGTATTTGGGGCAACGAAAGAGCTGATGCAATGGCCAAATCTGCCACTATAGAACATTCCGATAAAAATATCAATATCCCAATGACTGATTTCAGAGAAATTTTAAAACGAGACTGTATTTCAAACTCCATAAGACGCATTAAAGAACAAGGGAAGGAGAAAGGAAAGGAATATTTTGAATTCTTTTATAGAGAACTTAAGAAACCGTGGTTCTGGGGCAAAAAACTCACACGTGAGTTTACTACTACAATCAACCGTTGTAGATGCAAGCACTACAATCTTGCCGCTTCCCTGTCTCGAGTTGGCATAATCAACTGCGCGAGATGTAATTGTGGCGCCGAGAAGCAGGATCTCAATCATGTTGTTTTTCAATGCCCTCTGTACGAGGCACAGAGAGTCGAACTCATGGAGGGGTTCAAAAACGCAAATCTGTATCTCCCTCTGGACATGAGATCCCTTCTTGTAAGGCCAAACATTGTAGCATGCAGTCACATACATCGTTTTGTTAAAAAATGTAACTTACAAATTTAAGGTATTCAAACCACATTACTCTTGTAAACCGTAATACTCATGTATAGCTATATAACTCTTACGAGAGTTTCACGAAGCTAATTAATAAAAAAAAAAAAAAAAAAAAACGTGAAATGAATCGTTAGAACGTGACACAGAGTATGACAGATCGAACGATCAGCCTCGCGTTGGGGGGTTGAAAAGGTTAAGAACCGGCGGGTTAGCTTGATCCGGGAGCCCTGTCGTCGATCATGATAGATTGCAATGAAACGTAAAGTCGCTCACCCGTCGCGGACTGCGTCTGAAGCAATAGTCCGATCAGCGAGACCAGGACGTAGGTGTTGTATCGGGGTGTCACGATACCCCGTCTCAGGGTCGTCATCTCAGGCGGCCCCCGCCAGGTGCCCCCTTGACCCTCCGCCGTTCCCGCTCCCTTCTTCGGCAGCTTTGGCTTCTTAACTTCCGCCTTGTTCGTTCCCGCCAGCTCCGCGGCGCGTAGTCCTCGTGCTTCGCATCTCATCTGCCTCCTCCGATCGATTCCCGCTACCCCGTTAACGACAGTTTTTTCCCCGAGATCACCCTCGATTTACCACGTATCCGTCCGGCAGACGTCCTCCCGGCAGCCTCGTCATTTACACCACCGCACGCTGAAAACGTTCGATCGTTCACGGGCTCGATCGAAAAACTGACGGATCCTAAATCGTCTATCGAAACGATCGAATTGGCGTTTTCAATCGGATACTTCACGAGGCACGGGGCCACGACGCCACGCGACAACACGACAGAATCCACCGTAGGATGGTTAGCATTTCAACGAGGAAAAGTCACGCGACCGGCTGCCAACCGAGAGGCCTAGAAATCCCGCGCTTGACGCGCCGTGACCCGTCGACCGAGACACCCGCTACGCGGAACGATCGTCGCGCTTCGACCTCGCGGCAACATCTAACACACCTATCGACCGTGCTCTTCGCTATATCGTCCAATTTTCCACGTACCGTGGGGGGCGTCGCGAGACCCGGGGGGTACGAGACAGAGTGAGAGAGAGAGAAAGATCACGTGCCCGGGGTTTGGAAACTCACTGAACATATCACACCATCCACGAGGATTTGCACGGGCAAAGGGAGGGCCCCTCGTGGCCGTGCGAGAATCGATTCGAAACACCTGTAGAGAGACCGTGGCGTTCTCGTTCTCGTTCCGGGCGAGCGGTCGAGCGTCCTGTCACCGTCCGACGACCGTACTTTCTCGATGCTGTCTCCGGGAAGGCACGCGTCCTCCAGTCCGCGGACCCGATCGTCCCCGTCACGATCGACCGACGCACGGCACAGCGACGCACCACCCGCGTACCAGCATCATCGCGATCGTCGTCCGTCGGGCTCCTCGGTCAGACACGTGGACGATGGCGAAATCGACCGGGGCCCCTGCGTAACACGGTGAGCAACACCGTGCTCTCGACCTGCCTCACGCACTCGATCCTCGTCGATCGTTCGCCAACGAGTGACGGACTCCGCCGCTCGTTCGCCGTAGCCGATCGCTACGGTCTCGCGAACGGGGCAACTACGCACAGGCGGCCCGTCTCTCTCGAACTACGCGGGTAGTTTCGGAGGCGCGCGGATTCGTGTCGATGGGGAAACCAAGCGCGCACGAGGCCGCCCGACAGACTGAGAGTAGCAGTCGACAGTCGGCAGGCAGCAACGGCAGCAGCAGCAGCCAGCAGCCAGCAGCCAGCTAGCAGGCTAGCAGCAGCAGCAGCAGCAGCAGCGGCAGCAGCAGCAGCAGCAGCAGCAGCAGCAGCAGCAGCGGCAGCAGCAGCAGCGGCGGCAGCAGTACAAGGCGGAACGTCTCCCTGTGTGCCGAGCGAAGCTCTGCAAAAGCGGTGTGCACACGCGGCCGCGCTGTGTTATGTTGTCCCCACTTCCCTTCTTCCTCGCGCGCGATCGCGGCTGCGGCTGCGGCTGCGGCTCGCCTATCTGCCTGTACGCCTCTCTATGCCTTGCCTGCCTCTATGTCTGCCTGTTTGTCCGCCTGCCTGTCTCATGCATGCATGCATGCATGCATGTTTCGTCTCCTTCTCCTCCGCCGCCACCTCCTCCTCCTACTACTACCACCACTCCTTCCTCCTCGTACTTCTTGCGTCCTCCTGCCCTTCACCGGCCCCGGGCCGCCTTCCTTCCTTCCTCCTCGTGATACACGCGCGTTCTTTCGACTCTACGCGCGATGCTCCTCCTACGCTTTCCTTCTGACGTCTCGCTCGCCACGGACTTCTTTTCCGTCTCCTCCGACCGGGCCTCTCTTAAGTAATTGTTGCGCGTTATTTTTTCACGTATTCGCCCGCTAGGAACGATCACGCGAACCGATAGGGCTTCCCTCGTTGACCGCGTTACACGTTTTCTCGCATTTCGCTCGTTCACGGTTGATTGTTGCTTCGGAGCTGTGGCGTCTGGAGGAGCAAAGACGACGTTCTGACCTTCTTTCCCTCTCAATTTTTGTGTTTAATTATTTTTGCATGTTGTAATCATTGTTTGAAATATCATATGGACTGACAGAAGGGGCTGCTTTGTTATTTTGGAGCATAGCTATCAATTAAAGTAGCAATGACATTCTGCCTTTCTTCCTCTATAAATACTGCATTTCTTTTGTATGTTGTAATCCCCGTTCAAAATTCGGTATTTAGTCATTTTTGCACGCTTTTTAAAATCATAGTGTGAACTAGGCTTTCTCAACTAGCTGCATTGAACTTTTCATCCTTTACCTTTTGGATCGTTGTGGAGGAGTATCGATGGATCTAGATATACAATTCTGTTTTTCTTTCTTCTGAGTAATTATTGTATTCTGCTTTAAAACGACAGTATGGACTCTTGTGTGTTCCTACTCAATTACCCGTGCTAAATTCGCGATCCCCTTTGAGAAGCAATGATAGAATTCTGTTTTTCCCTCTTAAAATGATTTTGTAGTCTGGTAGAAACACTTGTGCAATTTCCTGTATCAAATAGCCCCTTCTTGATCCTCTAATTTATTTAATATATCAAAATTTTACGATTTGTACAACTATTTAAGAGAGCAGTGATATTAAATACTTTTTTTTTTATTATCTTCATATACTTAGTATCTATTTATTTTTGTATATCTTTTTACATCACCCAATTACTTTTATCCTGTCATTCTTTGTAATCCCTAGTTATTGCTATATTAATTTCTCATTTCTGTTTTCTTCTCTGTTATTTTTCCGTTCTTATTTGCCTACAATCAGCCCCATGTGCTATCAAAATACTATAATACCTTATTATATTTTCACACATATCGTAAAAATTAAAATCACCGAGGGATTAAGGGAACCAGTCCCAGAGCAAGCAATAAACGATCCCTCTCTTTTCCATTCCATCTCACTCTCACGATTTTTCCTTCGTTTCACGATCAACCCCTTGAATCATTCCCATACTACATTAATTCACTATATTTCACAAATTCATAAAACCGTGTTAAATTTAATAATTCGACCACCAGTTTGCCGATGGATCGAGGGATCTAGGGAAAACCACTCCCACAGCAAGCAATAAACTCTTCTTTCACTGTTTCATCCTTCGTTCGTCTCACGATTACTCCATCCAGGTAATATTACCCCCCGCTATATTATTAAAATTCACGACGTTTAACCGTACGAATTAATTTCGATCTCGACACATTTTTTCCAACGCGTCTATAAAAAAATTTTCCACGCGTCGAGGGAAGCGAAGGGGACCAGTTTCGGAGCAACGATCTCTCTCTTTCTCTTTCTTTCTTGCTCTCCAGGTTTTTCGTCCTTCCGTTTTGTTTTTTTTTCTGCGAACGCACCCCCTTTGTCGGGGCCCCGGGGCTTCGGAGACGTCCGTGATATCCGCACCGTTTACTTCCGGTACAATTTCTTTCCGCTGGACGAGGACGAAGAGTCGAACGATCGGTTCACTCGCGGCCATCCGGAATATTTTTTGCCCGATTCCACGGTATTTATAGAGAGCCGTTCGCCGTTTGTTTCCGATGCATACGTCGCGAGAGGTTTTTCGCGAGAAGAACGACGAAAAAGAAACGTAGCATCCATTCGACGACGAAAATAATTGGCCGATTTCCGTATTACGAGCGAGAGACAACAAATTTTGTAACTCACGAACCTCGTGGAACTTGTCAAAATTCTACAAACACTTATTACATCTGCACTATGTTTACGTATGCTCAATTATTATAACTTTGTATTTTACACTCATGTACAAACTTTATCGTACAAGAAATCAGTCGATTATTTTTATAAAATACTCCAGGTTCGTCGAAACGCGGTAAAAATGTCGAATTTTTAGCGATACTCGATGGAACAATGGGGGAACGATCAAAAGCGTACGATCCTGTCGTCTCTCCTTTCACTTCTTTCGATCAGTTCTTTTATTTTCACGTTTCGTCGTTTCGCGATCGGTTTTGCCTTCTTACATTTTGACTCGTATAACGGTTTTAACGACGGTCATTACTATTTTTATCGTCGAACTTTGTAGCCTGCGAACAGGATCCGACCTCGTGCAAAAATTGCAGGCAAGTCTCGGGAAGTTCTCGGCGCACACCGGATCGTTTTTCGAATCCGTCTTCGTTTCGCGGGCGTCTCGTCTCCGTTGTTCATTTCGATCGTGTCGTCGCGTTAAAAATGAAAAACTTCGTTTCAAGTCAAACAATGAATCGATCTTATATTTTACTTCGTCGTGCTTCGAAATAGTTCGAATCAAATAATTCTTTGCTCGTCGCCGAAGACATTTTTTAAACGAACGTTCGCAAAAGGCATTGAAAAAGGTGGCTTCGAAACGTATTTTTTTTCGATTTATATAAGAGTATCTTTATAGTATTTAATGCAGCTGGGCCTAGAAATTGTTTTACTTTAATAAGAATTAATTTGTGCAACATTTTCAGATAAACAAATTGGTCGACAATGAAGATAAAAATGATTAAAACTGAACGAGAGAAACGAAGCAATTGATAATTCGTGTGCAAGCTTGTTTCGTGAGAGTGAAGATAATTTTTGTATATATTGAGCTTAATAAATAATATTTTAACAAAAAACCCTCTGGTCTTTTGATGTAGCTTCTCGGTAATATACATTCCTCTTCATTACTACTCCGGCACTAGTTTTAGTTCGATTGGCTGACGACGTAACATCCGGAAAAGGTTGTTTAAGTATTACTTGAAAATGTACAAAAATTGTTCTGTACCAAATTAACCCTACAATGCATAATAGTGCACAGTTTTTAACGAGCAATTTTTCTTAAATACACTGTGATGCGTACTTGTATTAACATTTGTCTGAGCCAAAAATTGATCGAAATATATTTTAACATAGTCTCGGTCCAAAAAGGTTACAACGAGCCAAAGAATGTTTTTGTATCGTAAAATTGTACAGTATTCCAACAGTTATATTAGAACCGAAAGACCAACCAAAAACGTTTTACCGTTCACTTGAAACTCTCGATCACTGAGACTACGTTAAGAAATGCTCGAATCATGCGTGCAAAC